TTACCAGGTGGCCAAGCGCTTGTTTAGGGATTCAACGAAGGCGGGAAATGAGTGTAGAATCCTGATTATGCAGTTTAAAGAGGCATTATGACGGTTGGAGACTGCATAAGAAGGATGCCATTGTCAGTTTCAGACATGATAACCTCTATCTTGGTATCAGCTGGTATTTTGTGAGAAACGAGTGCTTGGGTAACTTCCAAGGTGAGTCTTACTTTAGCCTATAAGTTATTAAAAACGTAGCACAGTACTGAACCCCGCACACCCTTTACTATTTTTTTGGTATCGTCATAGCTCAAACCGTTAATCTGAGCGTTTTAACATCTACACGTGCTTTAAAGGCTTACATTCCATATTCTATGGCGCTCCTACCGAACTGCTTCTGTGAGAATCATGACCACACCTAACTGCCTACACACAGCTGGAGCTAGTATACCAAATCCTATACTCCATGGGCTCCAATACTTAACGAATAACTGTCTCCATGACTGACAAATTTTACTATCATTATCACAAGACAGAAAGGTACTGGCACTACACATTAGTTACCATTATATCAGATTTTCTAACGCTCTCTCCATATATGAACCGCAGCCTACTTCTAGTGAGAAGATACGTACTGCAGGTTCATTACCTGTCTTTCCTTCCTCACCTAATAAGCTGCTCACAGATGATGAGTCTGTCACTCGCTTGGTCACCATGTGTGCGTTCTGGGCCGATGAAAACACACCAGATTCTCTAAAAGTATGAAGCAAGGTTGTCACCAATCCTAGGCACTTTTGCCCCAATGGACCCGAACACTAATGCATGGGGCGTTTGACTTCTTTTCCACTAGTTCAGATTGTTTAGCCGGTAAAGTGCACATTAGAAAAGTATATATCACCCTGATGTACAGTCAGTTTTTCCCGTACATCTACGAATAAACACGGCATATCCAAAAACTTGTATGAATTTCACTCAGGAAAATCATAAGAGTTATTTTTATATGCGTAAATTAAAGTATACGTATAGTTTGAGTGTCCCTAAGAAGACAGGAACTCCTATCTTCCCAATTTCGGCTTGTGTAGTATATCAATCTTCGGTTTCTGCTCGTTCTTTCCTTTTTCCCCTTTTCAGCTTAAGCTCGAAGAGAAAATCTTGAGCATAATCTTGGCGGAAATGCCAACTTACTGAACATACTACCTTGTGCGTGAAACCAGAAATTATTGAAAGAATTCGTCAGCTGGTTTTCCCTATTGATTTTCAACTTTCTGAAAAGTTCCACAGCGAACTCGTCCAGTTACCAACATCCCAGATGCTACCGTATACGAAAACTCAACTGCAATAACCGGTCCGAAATTTCTGGACAGTTATGATGCCAGAGAAAGTCTGGACGAACATCTAAGTCTAAGAAATAAGGTCACCCACCGATTCAAAGCGTGGGATTTTCGCAAACAATCCCACGCAACAAACTTTCCAAGACCTTGTCTCATTTGACTCCGTCCCATAGAAGACAATCAAAGGTCAGCATACTTCCTTCATAATGCTGCATACCTCGATGTGAATTCTATGTGTAAACCTCCATCACCACTGGATAATAGTCCTTCAAATATTTACTCCTTTGTAAGGGAACAACTAATTCTGATGGTTTACATCTGCACTACTGTGTAGGGTCACTCTACGGGTGGGAAACGCGTGGAATTACATATTCACGTGGATTATATGATTATATTAACAATTACCGTTACCTAAAATCGATGGAGTGAGTTTTTGTTGGGCGATGGTACTATAAACATGTGAACTGATGCCAAAATAAACGTTTATCCGACGATACACGGAGCTGTATCCCCAGGTTAACCATCTACGTCTTCTGTAACGCAAACGTCGAATATTTTACGATTTTGGTACCACTTTATCCTGAAAGAAGAATGGTGAGTGGAAACGACCGAAACGCATAGACAATCTGTATTTACTATGAAGTGGTATTTTCCATTCGTTTCATGACCTGCAGTCACTACTGATATCATGATAAACTGTGATGCGATACCTTATGTATCATTCAGGGCAGCTCAACTAATGAAGATTTCGCCACCATTATCACTTTGCTGATTCCTGTAGACTGGCTTCTCCCATGTTAAACCCTTAATTTGAGGACAAAATATTCATTTATTTATTTATCGAGACTAATTTTTTCCGTTGTTTCACCTTCTGAGTTTTAACTTCGAATGCCAGTAGTTACCCCGTTCGTAATCCCTACCCGGCGTACCTACATTAAGTCTGCCAGCAGTGCCCCTACTCTGCATCTTTCTGAAACATCAGAAACAAAATATCACTTCTCACACAATGTCATAGAGCCCTGTGTCTGAAGATATTCAGGCGCTGCCCTCCGTTCACACCTCGTGCAAACTTCGTGCCTAAATAACAGTAGTATATTTGCTTTTTTCATTGCACTAAAGTAAAATAGTATTACACAAGTTCATAATACGGAGATATTAACGCAACGTGACACGTACAGCAGCCAGGAATGAAGTCCCGGTAAAAACCACCCAAACGACTCCATGAAACGAAGTAGTTGAATTTTTAGACGTTTCATAACCACCGATTTTCTCCAAGTTGGCCTCACCGCTTCTTTCGCACTCTTTTTCCTTTGCGAGCCCTACTGTTTACTGAGGATTTAGGAAAGGTATTTTTACACTGGAAATAGTTCGGTGGAAAGCAGTGAAACCTTTTGAAGTATGTTTTCTTTCCACCGAGCGTTTTGTCAACAAATTCGGAAGCTGTTTTACCTCGGAACATCTTCATCCCTGCTATTTTCATTATGATATAAAGCAATTCTTCAAGAAACTACCATACCATATCAAGATGCTTTATCTGCCAGTGATTGCGTGCACATTAAGCCTCTGCTCAGTTAGACAGTGACCCTATTGCTTCTTGTGAATCCCTTATGCTATTTAACATAGATCGCCTGTAATTTCTGTGGTTCTTACTGACGTTTGTAGTCCTTATTGTTGCTTACCGACTTTGGTCTTCTGGGCCGAGTGTTCTGGACTCGATCGATTAGCAACAGGTGCCAATTCACATGGTGTTTACATCTGAAGGCAATGATGGCCTGGCAATCCACGTAACGACAAGAGGCAACAATTTTAACGCACACAAGTTGAAAGTAGAAATCGAACGTAAGCAAAGGTACATCCTAACACGCGGCTAAGAACTTTCGTTGCAACTTACTCTTCATATAGTCTTGTCTTCAAATAAAAGACTGGATGTTGCACTCTTTGAAGGCATGCATAGGTGAGGGAGCAGGCGGACCACTTATTTTACTTATCAGTTGCCCTTCCGGGGAATTCACCAACTTAAACAGCAACAGCGGCAACGAATTTACATCACAACCAACTGTCGTCTGATTCTTCTAGTTGGACGCGGATCCAATGAATGGACGCAATCCTTGGTTATAGCAGAAGGAATTCTTGATATTTATTCCGTACTACAATTAGCTCATCCTTACCTCTTTCCATTGGCAAAACTTCTTGGAGAATATGATCACGTGGAACTTTGTTGCGTCTACTGAGACTGCAGGAAGGTCGTGGGGTTGATTTGCCTAAAGACTACTTGGTCAGTTACTGCTAATAAACATATGAAATCCAACGAGGCCTAATCCAACCAAGGTAGGTATATTACGGCTGAACGAAGGTATCAAGACACTTGGAGGTGTAATATGAGTCAGCATGGCTCAGAGAAAGAAGACAAATCTCCGGGTTCAGAGCCATCAGAAGGTCATTAAGTGCGAAGTAGCCACCACTTTTGGCCTAACTCATCTGGTGAGTACGCCAGGCCGTTAGCAATTTGTTTATCACTGTATATATAGTGCTTATCACTGACTGTCACAATGCGTCCAGCTGAGAGGGTGCTAAAGGATCTGCGTGTGTCTGTGAACCAGTTAGGAGGCAGCAAATGCGCTCTTCAAATACCTTGTAGGATGAAGAAAGTTCTGCAAAAGGACCCTGGGCATTGAGAAGATGCTCTGGATATTCTCAAATGCCCCAGCCGTTTTTTACTACGAAATTCATCAGTAGCATTTCTCGGTTGAAAATTGCTGCAAACTGTTTTGTATCTGAACCAGAAAGAAGTAAACAAGGGTGGTTGCTTTCGAAGGATGGGCGGCGACAACTATTTCCTTTTTCAGCCAACGTGAATTCCGTCAAGCGCCACAAAATTTTATGAAAGTTGGAGCCTGTTGCCCGTACCACTTACTTGAATTACATCACAAATAAAAATCTGCCTTTATTCAACCCCTCGAGTGGAACGTAAGCTACATTCGTTCAAAGATGACTGGAACAACTAGTTACTAAGATGTCACTGACTACGAAGTCATCTATTTTTCAGAAGCCATTTTAAAAGCCCGCTTACTACAGTGGTTTCTCGTTCCTATTCGTGAGGAAAGCGAAAAGTGTCTGTCGAAAAGTTTTTAGGAATCGCCTCGACGTATCCGGGGAGACCAATGCAACGCATCAAGATATTTTGGGCTGTACGACGTTATTGTGATAACATCTCATCATGGCTGGCGTGAGCGTATGGGAGCTTAGCTTCATTGGGAGCATATTTGAACCCTTTAATGTCCACTGTCTGATGGTATGACACTTTGGGAACCCATCTGCACCACAGACCTTGGACAAACCATACAATCCCTGCAAATTTAGTCAACACCTAGCGGCATGTCCGGCTAACAGGAGCTAAAGCAGGCAAGTGGGTAGATATACTGCATCGGAACTCACCAGAGACCTGCGACCAACTTGCGAGGCCTACAAGCGGACGCGAAGAAATCAGCTGGTTACAGTAGCTAGTAAAAAGATATTCGATATTGGAATAAGAACAGTAAGCCTATATGGGACAGTAGTAAACGTTACCACCTAGTGTTTCCAGGATGTAAACTGCATCAAAAAAGAAGTTAATTTGCTCACATTCACACTAAAAGTAAAACCAAACCAGCTTTGTTTCAGTTTACTAAACTGGCTATTATTACCGACCTCGCGTACGTTTTAAAAGTGACACTGTTTTGCACTATGGATGAGCATATATTATTATCTGTCCAATAACTGTATGACGATATTATTTCCAAGTATGTATAACTCCACTTTTTGAGGAAGTCTGGTGCTTGTTCTTTGCTGCGAAGATAAAATGACCTGAAAACCCGATCGGCATATTATAGATGAATACGTTAGGCGCAGCTTTGTATAGTTCTATGTTTATCAGAAATCGAATTCGAACATAAATATAAATGAACGTGGATACAATCAGTGTATGTATGAATACACTTTCTCTATGTCTAGAGTTGATTGGTTTTTGCTGGTAGACTGACTGGTTTCAGAAATCGCTGATACTGCTCGAAGTTTGCTTTGGATGGCCTGCAATTAATAGCAGCTCATGATACAAGCTTCAACTGGGATATCGGCACTTAATGAAACATGCATAACCCCAGCTGAAATATAGTGAATGCACTTGACGGATATTAATACCAGCTACTGAACCCATTTGAGAAAATTATCATATCAATTAAGTGGTAGTGGCAATGTCTAGTGCTTTCTTAGCTTTTCACAATTGTTTTAAAGATAGGACTCTCCTCTTCCAGCTCGAAGGCATACTTTTGGTGGTATAAGGGGATTTTTATTACTCGAACTCTAGGGAGATCAAATTATCTGACTTTTAAAGCAATTGGTTCCCTTTATAAACTTCAACAAAACAATAAGAAGACGTAAATTGTATGAGCCGTGTAATATATTTGCGCAACACATTTCGAACCATCTGATCACACACGTACTTGTCATTTATATGGAAATTCATGAAGATAAGGGGTGAGAAAATAAGAAAAGGTCAAGTAGGAAGGCTGAATTAAAGGCCGAATAACAATGGGAATCAATACACCCATATTAATAGTACGTTGAACTTGGTTTTCATAGTTAAATTTACCACTAGCCACTGGGTAAGCTTATGCGTCGTCGAATTACACACTGATGTTATTGGATCCCATTAAGAAGCAATTCTGTAAGTATTCCTTGGAAGATACATTTGAAGTAATCAAATGCCTTGGGGATGTTAACATAAAAAACAAATTTATATGTTCACTTGACGTTAACTCATTATTCACCAATGTCCGTTTGATCAAGACAATTGACATCTAATGTGGTTACATTTCTGTGCATAATTTTTCGATACCATTTCTTTGGATCTTTAAAATAGCTGTTACTTTTAGGTATTCGTGATTTTAAATTCACCTTTGAGGGCGAACATTTCCACCAGGTTGATGGCGTTGCTATGGGAAGTCCCCTATGGTCCTCTTCTAGCTGACGTATTGTCACACGAGAACTTAGCCGAGAACCTAATAGACCATGCTCATCTGTATCGAAGATATGTTGACGATATCCTGATCATTTGTGAAAACTCAAATCAGTCTACTTCAATTCCAAACAGACTGAACGAAGTACAGAACAGCGTATCCTTGACATGCGTAGAAGAGAAAGATGACTGCCTTCCATTCTTGGATATATTAATTAGTCGGAGGCAGGATGACTCCATAAAACGATTTATCTACAGAAAACCTATATGGACAGGGCAATATCTAAACTATCTTAGCTTTTGTCCAGTGTAGTACAAGCGAGCGTTAGTTGGGTGCTTATTCAGCAGAGTTCAACAAATGCACGGAGGATACTTCAGAAGATGAAAGTGGAACACTGACTGATATATTGTTGGAAAATAACTATCCATCAAAAATGCAATGTGAAACACTTCCTTAAGAGTTCATATGTTTTCGATTACATCCAGTTGTATTCTTCATACCTCATGAAAACACTAAAAATGTTAACTAGCACGGAACAAAAATTACTGTCTTCTGTGAAGTTAATAATCTTTTCGCTGGATTCATCTCATGCAATTCAGGACTTAAGAAGAACCATGTTGATTTCTAGGCAACGGTCAAAATTAACAAAACCTTAAGAGTATGCTTCGAAAGTATATATATATATATATATATATATATATATATATATATATATATATATATATATATATATATATATATATGACAATATTGGATAGCACCACAAAATTTGGGAAGAACAAAACAGAGTACGTAATATTAAGATCTCTTGCGTCTCGGAAAATGTAGTAGTTGTACATATTCTCCTTGAATGCAGCTGAGATGTGAAAGTGCTGATTGTCAATGCTGCGAGTATGTATGCATGTCTTATACTCACTCCTTTCGAAAAATTCTATGATTTTCCAGAACTGTATAAATGATTTTGAGGGAAACCAGATCTTGCAACACACTCCACAATAGTCTTATTTTCTTTCAACATCCATTTTTCGTATTATAAGCCAACATGTTAGACAAGTAAGTGCATAGTAAAACCAACAGGCTCAATCAACAGTGAATAAGAAAACTTATAAATATACATTCATGGGGTTCATTGCATTGTCGTTTTGGTAATTGGTTAAAAAACTATCATGAGGAAATAATTTGAAGATTTGCAGCATGAAATCTTCATTAGGGTGTCTCAACATCATCTCCCTATCCTTTCATCTTTAAATGAAAAACCATTTGGAAGTTTTTATCTTTGGATTATCTATTCAAGAATGCACAACTATAAAAACAAGTCTTTAAATCTAGTGACACTGGTTTTAACCCATTTTTTGGTAGCCATTTTTTATAACTTTATTTACGATTACGATATCTACTAATTTACCCCAGTTAATTACCGCATGCCAGTTTTTCATTAACTTAATTTCTCATTAAATAGACAATAATCAATATTCTTATTATACAAATCAGGTAATGGAAGGTGTTTATAAACGTCTAAACGCAGAAATCGAGAAAGCTCAAGGTATTCAAAAAGAAATTCAGAAATGTTTCCAAGTTCATCGCCAGTTGTCTGCTCAACTTTCTGAAAATGAAAATGTTATCGAAGACTTAGGCTATTTAAATGAATCCAATGTCATATACAAGCTTGTTGGTCCAGTTTTAATCAAGCAAAAATTATCAGAGGCTAAAGAGACTGTCAGTAAACGTATCAGTTACATCACATCTGAAATGTAAATCACTTTTCATTTTCTATTCAACATTTAGAAAACGTCATGATGACAGAATCAAAGAATTGGAAAAGCAACAGGAGAGTTGTCGTGAACAGATCAGTAAATTTCAACAGAAACTTCAACAAGAACAGGCAAAAGCAGCATTGAAGGCCCAGTAATGTGATAAAATACATAATTTTATATATGAATATGGTTCTTATAATTATATGCGTCGATGGGAAAATACTAGCACATGCAACTTTTAGATTTATTGTTTTCGTGTCAATTTCGTCTATTGTCATGGTAGTCTCATAGAAAGGAAGGTAGTAGTAGACTGTTGTTGATCAATCTAGTATGTAAATGTAAAATTTAGGCTCTATGGTAGAATTTAGTGCCATTCTAGTCGGTTTGACAGGTGTATCATTGTATACTAGATTACGTCTTGCACACAATTTTATTGTCCATATTTGTACAGAGATCATATAACTAAAAGTGTAGCTCCGCTGAGTTATTCTTTTGAGGCGCTAACTCGATGAACAGAGGTTCAGTGATCCGCATCTCTCCACATGTAACTATATTAATATCTAAAATTTGTTTTGTCCAAACCTAGTGTATGTAAATGCTTACATTGAAAAAAGTGCTTTTTTCTGAATACTTCATCTTAGTAAAATCTGTGGATTAGTTTAATTCCTGTTTTCGTATATCCCGTCTGACACAGAGTTCAGACTTTAGTTGTTGGATCGCCAACGCCTGTGCTACACTTGGTTGGCGAATTTATACTCCTTTTTAACCGTTTAACCTGACTTTGTATAGGATTTTGAAAGAAAACTGTAGGGAAGTGACATCACCGGAGTTAACTAAAATGTCCAAGATGGAAGTGTCACTTGATATCGAAGTAGGATAGTGTTTGGAAAGACTACACTTTTTACAGCCTGCATAACCAACTCTACAAGACCAGGTAAACTGATAGGCACAAATGAATATGCCTTCCACACTTCCTCAGAACAGAACGCTTTAGAAAGACGATTCTTCAGTATCTCTGCTGCACTGTCGCCTCTGAATTCGATAGTCATGAGCAAGGTCTTAGGAACAATAAGAGCTTTTTCGTGTCGTTCTAGCTTCATTAATTTCCCATGAACCTTGGGGAATAGGGCTCCTTTTTCAGCTCAGCTAGCTTTGGGAGTGAGTGTATTGCCCATTCGAAGTTGGTTGCTTTCATCTATACTATTCTTTGTCTACCGATTACTCTTCTTAAAAAACAAGGCTTTCTTCACTGATTTACTCTTTATTTTGAAATTTGTGTGTGTAATTACCATCCTGACTCCTATCTTATGGGGATATCTTAAGGTTCTTTTTTGATATCCCTTTCTTTTATGAAAACACGATAGAGATCTCGAATTCCTTATGAAAAATTCTTTACATCGACCATTCCTTACCTTATTATTTCTGTCTTATTTGTTTTCCAGGGTAGTTACTAAGTAGTAATCTTTTTCCCATTCGTTTCATTTCTTTTTTTCTCTAGATTTAGAAATTTGCTAATTGAAATTCTGTTTTGATTACCTGTCATGCAACTGAGCTCGCTGTTACTAGTTTGGGATAGTGTTATGTCAATACAAGTAAATGTGTCATCATCAACATATCTTCTAAGTTGGACTGAGCTTTCTAAGAACATACTTCTCTAAATGGCTGATAAGTATATCTACTATCATTGACAAATAGACAGATAAAATCAATGTATAACGCACACAAGAGCATCGGTTTAACTCGTCATACTTCACAGTAGCATACAAAAAAGTTGATAGAAAAAGACTGATATCAAAGTCCACAAAAGTGGATGGTTGAAGAGGAAATTTAAAAAGGATGTTAAGTCAAAGGGTTCAAGCCTAAAAAGATATCAAAGAATGAATATATCTATACCGTTTTGACCGATTTTCAGCCGTTTCACCATGAATCCTCAGTAACAGATTTCTATGGTCTTGAGGACAGACAGTCTTCGCCTGTCTACACGGCTCAGACCAAGAGTCAGAGACTTCATGCACTAGGATCATGCCTTGGTTTGGCTACCCTGAGCCTTGTTTCTAACCCGTATTCTAACTTCTAGCCTCATACATCGAGGTAGGCGATTGCTGGACAAGCACAACAAATGTCTAAGCCGTTCCAATCTCTAAACGTGCACAGCATCACCGACTGACTTGCCTTTATCGGTTGGTTATTATGTTTCATTTTGAAATTAAAAACCATAAATGCTGGGCATAATCAGACCTTTAAAGTGATGTGTCATTTATACCCTAATTAAATGAATTAGCTGGACTGATGAAAAGACTAGGAGATTTGGATTTCGTCGATGATTTACGACTAATGTCGCTGAAGCTCGAAGATTTACAGGAGAAAACTAACAAGTTCGCACAAGAAGCGAGGCAGCGAAGATGGGTAAGAACGTAAAGACAGAGGTGATGAAGATACCCAACCAACAGCAAACACCAGTTACCATCAATGGGAGAAATCTAAAGGAAGTTGTCTCTCTCACCTACCTACCTAGGCAACATCGTCTCAACTACAGGCGGCGGCACAGGCACAGATGAAGATGTCAAAGCCAGAATCGGAGAGACAACAAGACAGGCCTTCCTTCATTAGTCTGAAATAATCAGTGTGGAGATCTACTACACTCAGCATAAATCGTGGACAAGATGTGGATTTTCAACACTAATATCAGTCAAGTAAGTCAGTGCTTCTATGTGGTGGTTGAGAGACTTGGCGTGTTACGATAAGCATTTCAAACAAACTGCAGACACACATCAACAGCTGCCACCTACGCTCACTCGATACTGAAGATCAGATGACCAGAATAATAAGAATAAGCAAGGAGGAACTCTGGTTGGCTGGCAACGAACCAGCCAACAACCTATTGCCCAACAAATATACAGAATAGGAAAGTGGAGATAGATTGGACTGGGCATACACTGAGAAGAGCAGTTGGGTACATCACACACCGGGCCCTCGAATGGAACCGAAATGGGCAACAACGGGTTGGGCGGCCGAGGTGAGGGTGACATGGAGGAGATAGTGTGAGGAAGAAATGAAAGCTTTTGGGCAGTCGTGGAGCCGTGTTAAAAAGACTGCGGAGAAGAGAGTGAAATGGTAACATGCTACTGAAGCCCTATGTTTCGTTAGGAACCCTAGCGACAAATAATAATAATAAGTGAATTAATGCAAGATCAGAGTTCACTTTATGCTTGACTTCTAAAGCTATACTAATGAATATATTAGTATATAAGCAAGTTGCATCTAAACTTACCAATTTCTCATCTTCCTACATCTCAAAATTATCTAGCCTTTGTTTCATCTCATATCGAATTGGCTAGTCTCAATTATGAGTGGTTTTGAATACGACATGATATCAACTTTAAATCTGTAGTTATCTTATATGTTGAAGGTGTTTTGAATGTCTGCTATTGGTTTAATGGAATAACCTTTTTTCTTGAGTTTTAATATTACCGTGTTTTTTAAAATGAGACTATTAGTTTAGGGATTAGACTCGACCATTTAGAGTCACCCAGAAACGTTGTCATTTGTTTACCGCTGTCGTAATCCCTTCAAACGGTACTGAGTAGATGCGTTTATTTATTTTCGTGAAGTAGTTTGATTGATAACTGGCGTTAAAATTGCCTTTTTCATTGTTGACTTCAGTGACTTCTCCGTTCTTGAAAATAATGGAGAAGCTAATAATATTTATGCTCAAATTCTAATTGAAGCTTTTTGGAGATCTTGATCAATTTACATGGAAAGGAAGAAGGAGAAGAAGCTCTCTGGATGCCACCACTGTGTTGTATCACAATATTGCTTGTAATCTTGAAAGGAATGTCAAGTATGTCAGGTGTGGCTTTTTAGACCATACTTCAGAGTTTGATTCTATCCCATGATCTCTTACTGAGTCCTAGAAAACCAGCTGGACGTATTCCTATTTCTCTGAAAGGAAACAACTTACTGTTCATAGAGGGAAGCGCTGCACATCATTACTTACTGAGGCTAGTGTTCTTCAATGTACTGGTCTTTCCCGCCGTCTTTTCTCGTTCCTTAGTGTCAATTCTGTTAAATATGTTGAGGATCTGGCAGTTTTAATACCTGTCTTCTCTTCAACAGAACGATTTCCTATCGGCTACTAACTCTTCAAAATGCCAGGCCTTTCCTGGTCTTCCTATATCTTACTTATTTCCAAAAGAATCTCTGCCTAACTTAATATATTAAGAAGCTGAGAGTATCTGATATAACTAAGCCACTTTTTTTGTGTTTTATAAACTTCTACATCTTATCTGTTCTCCTTGATTCTTTCCTGGGTTGCTGAGAAAAGACTATGCTGTATTGCGTAGAACTTCGAGGATTATCAACAGAACTACTGGTGTAATTTTAAACCTTCTAATTGAAATAGTTATGCACAAGCATCTTAGCTCATGCAAACACCTGGCATGAGTTCTTACATCAGTTGACCAGCATCCTCTTCACTTGAAGCTTTCTGGGTATCGGTCATCTGGAAAGCCAAGAAGCAAGTACATAAGACTTTATACAAAGGCTACTAAATATAAAAACTCTACAATACCCTATTTATCCTGTCTCCTGTGCAATGAAGAAAGTATTCGAAATGAACTATCCAGTCAACTTCTGTTTTCAAAAGCAAACTAATTAAAGCGTATGCGGCTTGCCGTTATTCATGTATTATAAATCTAATCGTTCATGGGATTGTTTACTAAAGTTAACTCTGGATTTTTCAAGAAAGTTATCGCTGGAGTAAATCTTCTTATCTTTTAAATGTGACTTCTATTCATTTCATTGTGTATGCATATCAACAGTTTCTGTCCAATTGATACTGAAGATTCTGTACAGTATTTCTGAAGTATCTATCGGAATAAAGTTGTTCTTTCTAATATTGTACAGAGTTATTCGTACTAAATTTTGTCTCATCTATTGTTTTGATGCTGTTGCATATTGTCTTCTCAGTTGGATGAACATTAGAAACCTGTGAGCACTAGACAGTTGTTTCTTCTTGGCATGGGTTTCCTCAACAGAGCACACCCGTGACTCCGCCCTCTGGGGATCTAACCCAGGACCTACAAGTTTCGTGCTCATTGGTGAATAGCTTCGAGATGCGATTCCTGAAGTTCCAGTGAGAAGTCGTGACCAGTGGGGCAAACCTGGTAGCTGTGAGAACAAATGCTCAGCGGGGACTTTGGGTGGTGGTCGCGCTATATCGTGAACTGACAGAAGTTGGAAATGTGGACCAGTGGGTTCCGACTCAATGGTAACGTGCTGACCAAGGAATCTTAAGGTCCTGGGTTCGACCTCCGGAGGGTGGGGTAGTGGGTGCACACTGTTGAAGAGTCCCACACTAGAATGTAACAGCTGTCCAGTTCTGTCAGGTTTCCAATGCACCTCCAACTGATATCAGTTCACAATGAACACTAACTTGAAAAATCATTAAATCCCCACAAAATCCCCAAATTATGTTGCATATTGTGATCCGACTTGTTCAGCAGTTGTCTTGTTCATTGTATTTGATATT